CTCTTTCCCCCCTGCTGTCTTGTCCTTTTTCAGTTCTGTATGTTACGTTGGCTTATTTTTTTGGTCCCCAGATAGCGTGGCAAGAGGTGATTCATGAAGTGATGCAGTGATTTCAGTGCAGAGTAACGAAATGGCTGTAGCTGTAATAAAAATGGAATGTCTACTCTAAATAAATGGGACATGCTCATCTGAATGAGACCAAGTAGTACATTCATTCCGAGCATTACTGATAGAATTGCTGAAATTACTGAAATTATGAAAAAATTAATTTGGAAGAGTGTACGCGTGAGTGCTGCAGAGGTGGAATTTCTAAGCAGTGGGCAAAGAGTGCTGTTCAAAGCCTGCTGCAGTGCACATGCAGATCGCCTAACCTCAGTGGATTTTGAAGTAAATAGACCTGAGCTTAGCTGCATAGACGTAGTTGCCTCTTGCTTACCTTGTTATCAGTTTAGTTTGGCTTACTCTTAAGCAGAATGGTCTTTTGGGTTTTTTTTTTTTTTTCATTTTACAGTTGTTTAGGATCTGCTAAATACAGCTGAGACGTGAACTAACTTTTCTTTTGCTGTAATTCTTACCCCCACCCAAGAGATTAAGGGAATTTAGGCACAGTTAAGTATTTAGAAACACTAAATTTAGCAAGACAGCTAAAGCAGTTGCTCATAAGATAGTGCTGCTTTTTAAATTTTTTTTTTTTAGCAGACCAGTTTCAGTTTTTCATTTAACTGTTTGTCACCCCAGAGAACCTTCTTAATGTGTCACAGTTTGTTTTGGGATCTCCCCTTTTCCGCTGCTGTGTTTTTTTCTTTCAAGTTTCAATTGACAGACACTTCAAAGGCCACCACAAGGAAAACTGTTGAAGTAATTATTGGCTGCTGTGTTTTGCCTTCATCCAAATTAGTGAGACTGTTTTGCTAATTGCCCTGAAATGTGACACAACGTTTTCCAATAAACCAGACACAATTGAACTTGCCTGCTGGCATTTAAACTCTGAAATATTTCCAAGAAGCCAGGACTGAGCGAATACTTGGGCTTGTTGAAGGAATTTGTCCTGATACAACTGGAGGAATCTTCCAGGCTTTACCCCCCTGCCTTTGGTGGGTAGGATCCTGCAGCTTTGGAGAAATGTTTTCTGTTCTGCATAAAAGGAAGCCTGGTGGCTTTTGGCTGCCTTTAACTTGCAATAAAGATGGAAAATGAGGGTCTTGGAGAATATTTTGGATGGTACTGCGGAGAGGACTTTGAGTTTGTTTATTCCTTGCTGGAAATATGCAGTGTCTGACTCTGAGTCACATAAATAAGAGAGAAAAGCTCTAAATGCCACCAGTATTACTCAGATGTCTGTGACTTTTATTACATATTGGTCACTGTTTGTCACTGCTTATTGGATGGTGGCTATAAAGAGAGGCTTATATAGGCCATCACCCCTTCTACAGACTTCCCCTCCTTTGTCTTGTCTGCAGTAGGATGTTGTTCTCTGAATTAGAACATGAAAAGCACCAGGGATGAGGGCAAACACACACTTCAGTGAAGCTACAGCACAGCACTAATTGTTAAAGCCCACACTGCTTTAATCTGCCTCTTGCTAGGACATGAGCAGAGCTCTTTTGTGACAGTGATGGCTTCTAATAGGTAAATATTTTTCACTGCTCTCAAAGGTGAATTGTATGTCTGTACATATGCAGAAAACATTATGTATTGGTCATGTTTCTGCAGAGCCTGGGTGACTGCTGATTTATAGCCTTCCAGGTATCGATGCCTTGTTAAAATATCACCATGTTAAAGTTACCAGAAAGAAAAGCAATTAATGAATTATTGGACAAAGTAACAAGAAACTTTGAAGTGAAAGTGTTACAAATGTAGGGCTATCAACACATTGCTTATGATTATGTTTTTGGTTTTGAGTGGCAAACAGCGCATCTGTGTTGTCATATGCAGAACTCTTTATCTTTTGCAGCTGACCTGTATTTCCTGATTATATCGTATATAAATAAAAACAATGCCCAAGCAGTTTGGTGTGGTTTTTTTACTTTTTTTTTTTTTTTTTCCTCCTGGCTATATTATTTGGAAAAATGCCTCTACAGGAGTAGCAATAACTCCTTCAGACAGTATAAGGACACTGTTTAACAGAACTTGAGTCACCCAGGGTTCCTACTAGAGATAGGGCTTATCAGGACAGATGCAGTTTGGGCTGCTGTCTCTGGGGTTCTGGTTTGGCTGTATCTATGCCCCAAAAGTGCAGTGGAAATTATTAATTATGTATTTTAGTCATTTTTTAAAAAAACAGAATAAATTAAATAAGAGATTATGTGATCAAGAAAACCAAGCTCAAGCCTAGCTGGTGTTTTGATGACAATGTATTTGATTTTTAATTACATTAATAGGTGTGTCTTTTTTTTAAAGGCCTTATTTATCATGGAGGGGCATTTCTTTGGTAGGTCAAACACCTAAAAGCCTGACTTCTGGATCAGGATCTCATTGTGCTAGATACTATACAATGGAGAATAAAAAGTCACCTTTGCTTCGATCTGTCCAGGTTGTACCTGAATGGATGCTTGTGTACATCAGGTGTAATAACTCAGCAGCACTAGAGCCTGGACGAGCTCAGATTTAGAACAAAATAATGCTATCTGAAGAGTTGAAAATGGCTATGTGTGTACCTGGGCTGAAAAGCACAGTTTGGGTACCTGTCCACTGTGTTCCTCTGCTGGCAGCACTGGGAGTCCAGGGACAGACATCTGAGCAGCTCATGCAGCACGTTGAGGGATGTGACTGGTCCCTTATCGCTGCTTACCCTTGGCCTTGCCCACCATGGGCTCTGGGTCTGGGAGGGATCATTGTTAGCTCAAACTCAGTCTCTAAAAACAAAAAGATGGTGAAGGAGCCGTATTGTCACATCTGTTGAAATTGCAAAGCAGCCTCAAAAATGGTGATTTTGTCACACCTGAAGGTGTGATAACCACAATGTTTTTCAGACAGGGGGCCTTGCAGGAGTGTGGGGCTGGGGAAGAATGGTGTTCAAGCTGGCTTCGCTGCTGGAGGCAGAATGTGGTGGCTCTTAACCCTCCACCAGAGTGACTATCAGGAATGGAAGGCTGGCTTACTCTTGCTTAGGGGCTTTGTGAGCCAGCTTTGAGCTATGTTCAGCATATAGTGATGATACTGGTGCCATTTTTTACGTTCTCTTTTAAATGTAAGGACATTTCATTCATCTTTTTATTGACTGCAGCCCATTTTTCTGCAGTCACACTTTCCTTGTATTGGGTTTTTTACGTCTGATGCCTGTGAAGACTCCCTGTGTTTTATTTCCTGCTTTCCTGACTCCCACAATTTCCCTTTATTCTTATGTGCTTGTTGCATGAAGTGGAGGAGAGCAGACACTGAGTTCCCTCCATTAATTTTGAGAGACTTTTAGAGCTGTTTTGCGAGGGGATCTGCCCCCACCTTACTTTCGGTGTTATTACTCAGCTCTTTGCTGTGTTTGCAGATGTGAGGTCTTTCTACCCCCCTCTGCTGGGAACCTGAGTAGAGTTCTGGGTGTTCATTCTTTCTCAAAGGTGCTTTTGCTTGTGACCTATTTTTTTTTTTTGCTGAATACAACCTGTAATTGTATATTCATGTGAAATTCGGCCCTGCCATTGCAGGCTCCCTGTGTGGGAGGGTATGCAAATGACAGGACAAGAAATGAGACACTTGTAGAGTTGGGGTTTTTTGGAGGTTTTTTCCTTTCACGTTTTTAGCATTCATCTGTTTTCACTGGTTAATTGAACTTGAGTGAGTTGGAAGTAAGCATTCTCGGTAACGAAGGTTTCTGATTCACTGAAGGACCTGGTACTTCATAAGCAGCTGAGAATGAGAAGTAGCGTGAAGGCTGTGAACTGGAGAAATGTATTAAGTGATCTGTTCCTGTCATTTTTATTACTCTTGATAATACTTTTGTAAGTAATGCTACATAAACGGCAGATCCCAATCCAGATTTAACCTGGACCAAACTATGCTCGACTTTGCCTTTTCTCTGTCACCGATAAGATATGTGGTATTTTCCTCATATTCACAAATTTCTTACTATTTTGGGGCATCTGCACAGCCCTGCAGAAATTCCTACCAATAAGGGAAACACATGGAGTCAGAGCAGCCATGCTCCTGCCTTCTTGATGGATGCTGGTAATGCTGTGCTGTGGACTCCAGTAAAAACTACTGGACACTGGTGTATTTCTCTGGTGAACAGAAGTAAAACTTGAGTATCCATACTCTAAATCACCTTCAATCCTGCTTCATTCAGGCTGATTTCAAGAACAGTTGTCATCCTTTGCTTAGCAAATTAGTCCTAGTTTTTAGGACTCATTTTGTAGGACTTTAGTTTTATGCTAAATTTTCCAAAGAAAAAAATTCTGTCCTGTCAACCCGTTATACTTTCTGACCTCAGCATGAACAGCTTCATTCTTCTGCTTGCCTCCTTTTTAAATATTTGGTATGACAATATCTTCTGTTCAGTTTGTTAGTTCCATATCAAGGCTGATGAGATGGATCAAGTGTGGTTTTTTTTTTAAAGCCATACAGATGTTTATTTTCTTGAATTTAATTCTTAA